ACTGACATGAGCAACTTGATTTCCTCTAGCACTATCATAGTTGGAGATTTTAACATCCCTTTGGCTGTGTTGGATAGATCCTCCAATAAGAAACTAAGCAAAGAAATTTTAGACTTAAAATTAACTATACAATTGGATTTAACAGACATCTACAGAACATTTCATGCTAACAAAACTGAATACACATTCTTCTCATCAGCACATGGAACATCCTCCAAAATTGATCGCATCTTAGGTCACAAGACTAACCTCAGCAAATTTTAAAAAATAGAAATTATTCCTTGTACCTTCTTGGACCATCATGGAATAAAAGCTGAACTCAGTAACAACAGGAATCTGCAAACCCACACAAAGACATGGAAACTAAATAATCTTATGCTAAATGATAGCTGGGTCATAGATGAGATTAAGAAAGAAATTACTAAATTTTTGGAGCAAAACAATAATGAAGACACAAACTACCAGAACCTTTGGGATATTGCACAGGCAGTCCTAAGAGGGAAATTTATAGCATTTCAAGCCTTCCTCAAGAGAACAGAAAGAGAGAAAGTTATCAACTTAATGGGACAGCTCAAGCAACTGGAAAAGGAAGAACATTCCAATCCGAAACCCAGCAGAAGAAAAGAAATAACCAAAATTAGAGCAGAATTAAATGAAAATAAAAGAATTATACAACAGATCAATGAATCAAAAAGTTGGTTTTTTAAAAAGGTCAATAAAATAGATAAACCTTTGGCTAACCTAATCAGAATAAAACTAAAATCTCTAATTTCATCAATCAGAAATGACAGACGAGATAACCACAGACTGCAGAAATTGAGAAAATCCTTAATGAATATTACAAAGAACTGTATTCACAGAAATATGAAAATCTAAGGAAATTGACCAATACTTGGAATCACACCACCTTTCTAGACTTATCCAGGAAGGAAGTGGAAATGTTGAACAGGCCTATATCAAGTTCTGAAATAGCATCAACTATACAAAATCTTACCAAAAAGAAAAGTCCAGGACCAGATGGCTTCAGATCAGAATTCTACCAAACCTTTAAAGAGGAACTAGTACCTATACTACTTAACCTTTTCCAAAACATAGAAAAAGAAGGAAAAAAAAAAAGAAAGGGCAGCGCCTGTGGCTCAGAGGAGTAGGGCACCAGCCCTATATGCTGGAGGTGGCAGGTTCAAACGCAGCCCCAGCCAAAAACTACAAAAAAAAAAGAAGGAATACTACCCAACACATTCTGTGAAGCAAACATTACCCTGATCCCCAAACTAGGAAAAGACCCCAACAAGAAAAGAAAATTATAGACCAATATCTGATGAATATTGGTGCAAAAATATTCCATAAGATCCTAGCAAACAGAATCCAGCAACACATCAAACAAATTATACACCATGACCAAGTGGGTTTTATCACAGACTCTTAAGGCTGGTCCAATATATGTAAATCTATAAATACGATACATCATATAAACAAATTAAAAAGCAAAGACCATATGATTCTCTCAGTTGTTCCAGAAGAAGCTTTTGATGCATCCTTTTATAATCAGAACACTTAAGAAAATAGGTGTAGAAGGGACATTTTTTAAACTGATAGAGGCCTTCTACAGCAGACCTACAGCCAATATCATGTTGATTGGATATATTACCACTCAGATCAGGAACCAGGCAAGGTTGCCCACTGCTTTTTAACATTGTAATGGAAGTCTTAGCCATTGCAATCAGGCAAGAGAAGGCAATCAAGGGTATCCATATAGGGTCAGAGGAGATCAAACTTTCACTTTTTGCAGATGATATGATCATATACCTGGAAAACCCCAGGGACTCAAACACAAAAGTCTTAGAAGTGATCAAGGAATACAGCAGCATCTCAGGCTACAAAATCAGTACTCACAAATCAGTAGCATTCATATATACCAACAATAGTCAAGCTGAAAAAACAGTCAAGGACTCTATTCCCTTTACAGTAAGGTGACCAGACATTCTGCTTTTGGCGGGACAGTCCTGATTTTTAATAAATTGTCCCACGTCCCACGGCATTTTAAAAAAGTCCCGATTTTTGGAAAGAATGCACGACAAGCTAGGGAATAGCGGCCTGATTTTTGGAAAGAATGCATGACAAGCTAGGGAACAGCGGGAGGGAGAATGGGAAGGGAATATACTTTTCGGCTGCTGAAAAGGTTAGTGTAACTCCATTTGGGAATGAAGCGGTTAATGTAACTTCATTTGGAAATGAAAAGGCTAATGTAAACTCCCTCCTCCCCTCCTGGGCAAGGTCACCCAGGTGGAATCTGTACTAGAAGGAGACTGCTCCCTCCCATGCTTCTAGGCAAGGACAGTTAGCTCAGAAGGAACCAAACTCTCTGGAACAAACAAGTATCGCCCCCCTCTCTAGAGTAAGGTGACCAGATGTCCCACTTTTGGTGGGACAGTCCCAATTTTTAACAATTTGTCCCACAGCGTTTTTAAAAAGTCTGATTTTTGGAAAGAATGCACAACAAGCTAGGGAACGCTGGAGAACAGCAAGGGAATATATGGTTTTCAGCTGCCATGTGGCTATTTCACCAGGATATGAGTTTTATGTTATTTTTGTTAATTTTATAATGTTAAACTTTAATAATAACAAATAATTGTTGAGAACTGCTTATCAAAGTTTACATTGTTGTCAGGCCCCGCCCTCCCCCCCCCAATGGTGTCCCACTTTACCAATGTTAAAATCTGGTCACCTTACTTTACAGTAGCATCAAAGAAAATTAAATATCTAGGAGTGTACTTAACAAAGGACATGAAAGATCTCTATAGACTAGAGAACTATGAAACTCTGAGAAAAGAAATAGCTGAAGATGTCAACAAATGGAAAAACATACCATGCTCATGGCTGGGAAGAATCAACATTGTTAAAATGTCTATACTACCCAAAGCAATCTACAGATTTAATGCAATCCCCCTTAAAGCACCTCTGACATGCTTTGAAGATTTGGAAAAACTAGTACTTCATTATATATGGAAACAGAAAAAACTTCAAATAGTCAAGACATTACTCAGAAATAAAAACAAATCAGGTGGAATCATGCTACCTGACTTCAGGCTATACTATAAATCTATTATTATCAAAACAGCCTGGTACTGGCAAAAAAATAGAGAAGTAGATGTATGGAACAGAATTGAGAACCAAGAGATGAATCCAGACACTTATCGTAATTTGATCTTCAGTAAGCCTATCAAACACATAAATTGGGGGAAAGAGTCTATTTAACAAATGGTGCTGGGTGAATTGGCTGGCAACTAACATAGAAGACTGAAACTGGACCACACCTTTCACCTCTAACAAAAATTGACTCTAACTGGATAAAAGACTTAACCTAAGACATGAAACCATAAAGATTCTTGGAGAGAGTGCAGGGGAAACACTTGAAGAAATGGGCCTGGGAGAAAACTTTATGAGGACCCCCAGGGCAATTGAAGCAATACCAAAAATACATTACTGGGTTCTGATCAAACTAGAAAGCTTCTGCACTGCCAAGAACACAGTAAGTAAAGCAAGTAGACAGCCCTCAGAATTTGAGAGGTATTTGTAGGTTACATTTCCCACAAAGGTCTGATAACCAGAATCCACAGAGAACTCAAACTTATTAATAAGAAAAGAACAAGTGATCCCATTTCACTATGGGCAAGAGACCTGAACAAAAGCTTCTCCGAAGAAGACAGGCTCATGGTCTACAGACACATGAAAAAATGCTCATCATCTTTAATCATCAGAAAAATGCAAATCAAAACCACTTTGAGATACCATCTAACTCCAGTAAGAGTAGCCCACATAACAAAATTCCAAAACTATAGCTGTTGGCATGGATGTGGAAAAAAGGGAACACTCCTCCACTGCTGGTGGGAATGCAAACTAATATGTTCCTTTTGGAAAGAAGTTTGGAGAACACTCAGGGATCTAAAAACTGACCTGCCGTTGGATCCTGCAGTTCCTCTACTAGGAGTATATCCAATAGACCAAAAATCACTTTGCAAAAAAGATATTTGTACCAGATTACTCATTGCAGCTCAATTTGTAATAGCCATGTCATGGAAGAAGCCCAAGTGCCCATTGACCCATGAATGGATTAATAAATTGTGGTATATGTATACCATGGAATACTGTGTAGCCTTAGAAAAGATGGAGACTTTACCTCTTTGATGTTTACAAGGAGGAACCTGGACCATATTCTCCTGAGTAAAGTATTTCAAGAATGGAGGAAAAACGTATCCAGTGTACTCAATACTTCTATGAAACCAACTTATATATTTACTCACACTTTCTTACGAAAGATAGAACACAACTATAGCCCAGGATGAAGGAGAATGGAGTGGGAAAGGAGGGGAGGGGGGAAGTTTGATAGAGGGAGGGTAAATGACGGGACCACACCTATGGAGCATATTGTGAGGGTACAAGTCAAATCTATCAAGTGTAGAACATAAATGTCTTAACACAATAATCAAGTAAATGAGGCAAAAGCTATATTAGATTGATGTAAGCACGTCAAGTTGTATAAAAAAACACATTGTACCCCACATATGCATAAATGTATTCATGCTCTATGTGTATATGACTTAATTTAAAAAACTGTTTCCTTAAAAATTTCTAATTAAAGAGACATAATATCTTCCCTCAGGACTTTTACATTTTCATATTTAAAACGTGCTTTTCTTTAGACATAATCTCACAATGAACAAAATGATGAAAATATAAATAAGGATTTGTCAAGTCTTATAGTCTTTAATAAAAAAAATTTAAGTGGATAGAAACACTTGCTAAAAATGTTTGCCTCCGTGTGTGTGTGTGTGTGTGTGAGAGAGAGAGAGAAATTTTCTTTCAATGCCATTATTCAACTTGGAGCAGATTCAGTTGTCATGATTTTTTAGAATTCTGAAGTTCAGTAGCGGACACACATGCTTCCAGTTTGTTGGCTTTGCAGACCTAAAAGTAAACCTAAGCCGTCTTTTTCCTTCTAGATTACAGCGAGGCAAGAAACAGCAGATTGAAAATGGCAGTGGAGCAGAAGACAATGGTGACAGTTCCCACTGTAGCAATGCATCCACACATAGCAACCAGGAGGCAGGCCCTAGTAACAAACGGACCAAAACATCTGATGATTCGGGGCTTGAGCTTGATAATAACAATGCAACAGTGGCAATTGATCCAGTCATGGATGGTGCTAGTGAAATTGAATTAGTGTTCAGGCCTCATCCCACACTTATGGAAAAAGATGACAGTGCACAGACAAGGTAAGCATGTGTATTAGTTTCGTATTATCTAAACTCAATGTTTAATTTTTAGTGAAAAGGCATTTTTGATTGTTGGGGTTCAGTTGGGACATACTGGCTGCCTAGATTGTAGTACATGCCGCCTTCATGTACTTTCCACCTGAGGTTGCATGTCTGTGAGGAATGTCTTAGGTAGAAGAGGAAAAAGCCATTCACTGTTTTAGACAATCATACTCAAAGCCACTGGGCTCTGAAATTCCTGCTGGCAAGCATCACTGCTTTACTGCTCTATCTCCACAATACTGTCTGCTGTTAGAGGCAGATAAACATCAGATACTATTGAGTGGGTGACTGAATGGTATACCAGGCTTTAAAAATCCTGAGGTTAACACTTGCCTGCTCAGTCTTAAAAGCCCAGATATTTTAATTCTTAGATAAGAAATTTGCTCATATTCTAACTAGTCCTCTTGCTGTTGGCAGCGAGCAAATTTTGATCATTGAGGTTTGAAGGATATGTTGTTCTTTTTCTCTCCTAAGTGGTTTTTTTCTGTTTAAATTTTTTTTTGTCATTTTATAATGTATTTCACAGAAGGCAAGATAAGTAAAAACATTCATAGCCCAGCAGTCAGATAGTACTTTTTTTTTTCTGTACTTTTCAATAAGAACATTTTAGATTGTAAAGCAATAAAGTTTCTGATATTCTTTTGTTAATAATTGAGACATTTGGGCGGCACCTGTGGCTCAGTGGGTGGCGGGTTCGAGCCCAGCCCAGCCATACTGCAACAACAACAAAAAATAGCCGGGCGTTGTGGCAGGCATCTGTGGTCCCAGCTACTCACTTGGGAGGCTGAGGCAAGAGAATCCCTAAACCCAAGAGCTGGAGGTTGCTGTGAGCTGTGTGATGCCATGGCACTGTACTGAGGGTAATAAAGTGAGACTCTGTCTCTACAACAACAACAACAGAAAGATAATAGTAATTGAGACGTTTACATTTTACTTAGCTTTTAAGAAATGTAGGCGCTTATGGCTCAGTGAGTAGGGCACCAGGCCCATATACCAAGGGTGTGGGTTCAAACCCATCCCCGGCCAAACTGTGCCCCCCAAAAAGAAATAGCTGGGCATTGTGGTGGGTGCCTGTAGTCCCAGCTACTCAGGAGGCTGAGGCAAGAGAATCACCTAAGCCCAAGAGCTGGAGGTTG